GTTGAACCTGAGGATGAGATCAAATAAACAATAAAAAGAAGGAGGAGGATGGTATAAAAGGGAATTTAGGACTAAAGTCAATGAAACCAATGTGGGCTAGGAGAACGGGTGATATTCATGGACAGGAACGAAAAGAGAGAAGAGAAATCAGCACTGAGAGAAAGTCCTGTCTGCCTCGTCATGTCCTTGTGCAGGATTTATGAGCTCTAAGATCAGGGACAGGTTCGGTGTAGAAGTGGCTAGAGTAGTAATGGATGGGAAAGTGAACAAAAAGTAGGAAGAATACAACAAACGCTATTCAGCCACGGAGTAAAAAGTGCCAAATTTGAGGTTTAAGTAGGCTCAGACTGTGCAGTGGGATGAGATGCACTTCCTGCATAATACCCAGTGACAAGAAAGGAAACGTTAAGGCCAAGAGGAACTGAAGATGAGTAAAAAGAAAGAAAGAAACAACAAAAAAAAACAGTATGAAATAAAGCTGACCCGGACGTTACTGCAAAGGTGAAGATCAATTTGATTACAACTTGCGAGCGTGGCAACAAAACAGGAAGCAAAGGATGGGAAGAAAAATGAAACAAGAAGGGGCAAAGAGGGCATGGGTGAAAAAAAGAGCAGAAAAAGATCAAGTGAGGAATGATGGAGAGCAAGTGAGGAGAGCTAGTAGAGGAGAGAAAAGGTGCTGTTTGAGGGGAGGGTGATGCTGCGTGGGCGGTGTAATCTGTCTGTGTCAGAGGTATGATGAAGGGGCCAGGAGGGAGAGCTCTGCATTTCACCTCCTGGCCTCTGGAGGAAACACACTGACCCTGGCCCTCCTCCTGCCCACCTCCCGTCCGCCACGCCACTTCACCTGTGCAATTTATGACTCACGTGGGTCGCTGCAGAGTTTGGGCCTGGTGTGAGGACGTTTGTGACTCTGGCTGCAGTGACGATGCTCCTCGCTTTCGCCTCAATCTGGGGGAGGGTTTGCACGTTGAACACCAGAGATAGATAAAGGACAGACGGGACAAAGAAAGGACACTGTCAGATGCCATAGTTCAAGAAGTGAAAGGCACAGAGAACTGTCAGGGGAAATTATTAAAAATAACTTAATGAGAGAGGGCTGTCTGGTGTTCTGCATACTAATTGTGTCTCTTCATTGTTCATATGTATCACAGTGTGTTCCTGCAGGGTCAGATCACCAGACTACAGAACCCCTGAAGGAACACATCACTATTTGAAATGATGCTTAAAGACCCACTTACAATAATGCATAAACCTCAAAGTCATAACTTAATTTTATTATGTGAATTATGTAACTATTTATTACTCATGGGCAATTTAACAATAAAAGATTTCTATTACAAAGCTGTTAAAACATGCAATTTAACTTTAAAGTAAAGCACAAAGACTTTTGAACTAATTATTCCCCTAAAGAGGACTAAACACCCTTCTGTTGAGCAAATATTTGAGTACCAGAAACAAAATAAGGCAAAATAAAATTAGTTAATGCAGGCTCTTTGAATTCTTCTTCTTCTTTTGGCTTTTCCTTCTTCAGGGGTCTCCACAGCGAGTCATCCTCCTCCATCTCACTCTGTCCTCACTCCAACTACCTCCATGTCCTCTCTAACTGCATCCATATATCTCCTCTTTGTCTTTTTCCTGGCTATTGCATTTCTAACATCCTTCAACCAATATGCCCACTTTTGAATTGGGCATGATATATTTTCACAAATTTTGACAACACACTTCATTGCAATTCAGTTTCAAACAACTAACAAAAGGAATGACTGTATGTCACTTATACAGACTAATTTTACTGACTTATTAAAACAATGATACTTCACAATTAAGTATTGTTTAAAAATTATTGTTTCATACATCTTGAATCAATCAACAATTCACAAAAACAAGGCAGAAAATTACAGTAAATGGTGAATTGATATCAATCAACCTTTATTTATACAGGTAAATCCCATTGAGCCTCGAGGACTCATTTACAAGAGAGACCTGATTTCAACAAAGAAAGATGACAACAATGGACAACAGCAACAACAATAAACAGTTATAAAAAAAACATACTACAGTTTTTTTTTTTGTTTTGTTTTTAACAAATAGGATGGCTAAAAGGAAAAGGTAACAAAACAAAAAACAGCTAGATTCCAAGACAAATGTAGAAAACTAAAAACAGGAACATGTCAGCATTGGACCCCGCCAGGTGTCCAACAGATTTTTAAAGACACTTAGAGAGGTCAAGGTCGAGAGCTTCAAATCTTTTTGTAAGATGTTCCAGGAAACAGGAGCGGAATAGGAGAAGGCCCTTTTGCCTAGTTCAGTCCTCATTGAGGGAACACTGCAGGTAATAATGTCCTGAGAGTATCCTGATATTTGGACTGTATTTATATAGCACCCTTTTTATCCAACAGGATACTAGAAATAGATACATAAAGCACTTTTTGGGACGGCTGTGGCTGAGTGGTTGGAGCAATCGTCCTCCAATTCAAGAGTTGGGGGTTCGATTCCACCAGCAGTCACATGCTGAAGTGTCCCTGGGAAAAACACTGAACCCCATTGCCTCCAATGTGTGTCCCATTGGTGAATGAATGTGATAAAGCTCTGATTAGTCTTTGAATAGATCTAGTGGAGTGATGTATGAATGGGTAAATGAGGCACAGATTGAAGTGTAAAGAGCTTTGAGTATCTTGATAAGATAGAAAGGTGTTATATAAGTACAGTCCGTTTACCATTTACTTTACCACACTATCTGTGCCCTCATTTACTTCCACACACACATTCATCCAGCACTTTACTATGCCTCTACAAAGGTAATCTGAGTAAATACTTTTATATGCACAGTGCTTGCAATAAAGGGGTTCAGTGTCTTTCCCAGAGTCACTTCAACATGTGACTGCATATTAGTGGAATGGAACCCCCAACTCTCATTGGCGAGCTACTGCTTTAACCACTCAGCCACAGTTGCCAAATGCCCCAAATTAAAAATGTTTCAAGCAGCTGATGCACTTAACACTATTTCAGAGCAGTTAGCAGCAAAATACATTTAGTATATTATTGATAATAAAAACACGTGAACCTTGTAATTAGAATATTGGTTTACTCTCACAACCAAGGTGAAGCACACTTTTTGTGTTTGTTGCTGTTTTGCTGGTGCTGCTGCAGTTCTCCTCATGAACAACAGGGGTCGCTAATGAAGCAACAGTACCACTAAACAGGAGAAATTGTCATAAAAGAAGAGTTCACTAAAACAAGAGTCTACTGGAGATGCATTCTTCATACACAAATATAACTTTTTTTCAACTTTTTCTTTGGTACAAAAGTACAATAATGTGATGCATCTAGCAGAACTGTGTGAGTGCACAGTTGCTCTACTAATCCCAATCACACTGTGCACATGCACACAACAACACAATTCACATCACCTGTAAAAATCCCTGTTATTCACAAGTGACAGTGATGTTGAGATTTGTAAGTGTTTGCACCCATTGTTATAAGGTTTTATTATTAGTAGTACTGTATTTGTTTTAAACTTTTAAGACATCATGAATCTAATATTTTGGCTGTTACTCAGTCTCTCTAGAAATAACGTTTTTCCTAACTCAGCAAAATAATAAGCTTCTATGCAATTTATACTGCAAGTAAGATAATGGTTACGGATTGCAATTCCGTTGCAACCCCACTTCGAAAACTCTGAATTTGCTTTCCTCTCCTTTGTCCCATAGAACACAGCACGCAGAAACATTTAGCAGCTAATTAGATGATGGGGCACGTTCTCAGTTTAGAGTTAGGGTTAACCCTACCCCTAACCCTAAAGCATGAAGTTGTAGTTTTTAGTTGACCTTAAAACAAATATTTGTTGGAAGTGCTACATGACAAAGTCTGTCTGAGGGATTTTTATTCATTTATTTATTTTAAAACAACATATGCTTCATACCTCCATTTGGGCAAATCATCAAATTAGCTCAGGAACAAGACTGAACTGATAAAAAATGGCTCAATTAAGCTGCTAATGGATTTATATATAAATCTGTTTTTAACCCTCCATCAAGCCTCCCCGTAGCATTTTATTATTTTACTTTCAGACTGCACTCTATTTACACTGATTGATTTTTAGGTTTTGTCTCCCATAAAGTCCTCTGAGGCATGCTGGAGATGAAAAGGCCTCGGCATAAATGTGACACAACTTAATGATAAGCCATAAACAAAATGTGTTTGTAAATGAAATGATTGAGCTGAAGATAGATGGCAGGAATACTAAAATATGGCTTATTGTCGCAGATGCTAAGTGAAAACAATCAAGCGGAATTGGCGCAGTACGAGGTGAGGGTTGAGCTGCTGGATATTATTGCGAAGAGTTGAGTCAAAGATCTATTCTGTATATGGAGATGAGATGGGAATGAAGGTCACTTCTCATCATAACAGATAATTCATAGCCTGCCCTGACCTTTAATACCTGGATTTACTTCTTTACCTCCATCTTTGCTCGCTCCACACCACAGAGCTCCTCTGCAAGGAGAGTTCAAGTGTATGCTTCTCGTAGCAGTATACACTTGCTAAGCTTGTGTCCATATGGACTGTGCCAAGAAAGGGTAAACATATCCACACACGTCCTCGTGTGTGTTTGAAGAGCACATGCCCATTTATAATGCACATTTGCACAAGCATCAAATGTCAAAAGTTCACTGCGGCACCCTGCTCACATCTAATGTGACAAATAACTTCTTCCTCCCGTTGCATTGTTCTAATCCCTTTAGTGGGCTCCGGAATGGAAATATAATTACATTTCTGTGGCGCAGTGCTTTTGATAAGACAGTCACTTGCTGAGCTGAATCTCTAACTGAGTCGGATGCTTCGCCCAAGCCCTCTTCGCTCTCCTCTTTGCTTCTCTTTCTCACTTAGTGTTCTTCATTTCTCATATTCTTCTTTTTTTTTCAGTTTCTCCACTCGTTCTCTGTGCCATCATTTCCAAAAGCTCATTCTGCCTCTCTTTCTCTCCCTTGCCCGCTCAGGTATTGCAGTGGATAAGAGAGGTGTTGTCTACTTCGTGGATGGCACCACCATTCAGAAGATTAATGAGAGGGGTTTGCTCTCCACTGTGATTGGCTCAAATGGACTCATGTCGACGCAGCCACTGAGCTGTGATGCACGCATGGATATCAGCCAGGTAAGCTAATATTGTGGCTGAATGTAAATGAGAGCAGGAGCCGCTTTTGGCTCTGAAATGTTGTTTAAATAATTTGCAGAATGATGTGTCTTCTGGACTGTGTGGGCTAATTAAAATCACTGAATCAAAGTGAGCGATAAATGACATTTCGTTTTATAGAGTCTGTAGTATTTTCTTTTTATCTAAAATATTCAACATCTTCGTAGGTTTTTTAAAAGGCTTATCTCAGATTACTTCATCAAGCTGTGATGATTTTGTTCTACATTTTAGAGTGGTAACTGATTCCAAAACATTAGTATTCTGTTCCCTCAAATCTATATGGAAGGTATACACTGCTCTTGTACAGTATTTTCCAAAAATAAAACTGTTTGAAATAATGCACACCACCTTGCATGCCAATGTTTTAAACTAAAAAATCAACCTGTTAATACCTGGACCTGGTGTTGGCAATAACTGAGCCACATCAAATTTCACTTCAATATCTGTAAATCAAATTGTGCGTTAGTATTTTTTCAGGATTGCTAAGTTTGAAGAGATAGCGTGGCCGTCTTAAATGTTCAGGCTGCTGTTTAATATACCATATTATTTTACATTTTTAGTGTTTAGCGTATATCTAAGATTCTTGTATAGTGTTTCTTGTGTATTTTACAAACCAGATTCCAAAAAAGTTGGGACACTAAACAAATTGTGAATAAAAACTGAATGCAATGATGAGGAGGTGCCAACATCTACTGTAATATTTTATTCAGAATAGAACACAAATCCCAGATCAAAAGTTTAAACTGAGAGAATGTATCATTTTAAGGGAAAAATCTGCTGTTTCCAAATTTCATGGCTTCAACAAAACCCAAAAAAGTTGGGACAAGTCCATTTTTACCACTGTGTGGCATCCCCCCTTCTTCTTACAACACTCAACAGACATCTGGGGACAGAGGAGACCAGTTTCTCAAGTTTAGAAATAGGAATGCTCTCCCATTCATGTCTAATACAGGCCTCTAACTGTTCAATCGTCTTGGGCCTTCTTTGTCGCACCTTCCTCTTTATGATGCGCCACATGTTCTCTATAGGTGAAAGATCTGGACTGCAGGCTGGCCATTTCAGTACCCGGATCCTTCTCCTACGTAGCCATGATGATGTGATTGCTGCAGAATGTGGTCTGGCATTATCGTGTTGAAAAATGCATGGTCTTCCCTGAAAGAGATGACGTCTAGATGGGAGCATATGTTGTTCTAGAACCTGAACATAGTTCTCTGCATTAATGGTGCCTTTCCAGACATGCAAGCTGCCCATGCCACAAGTGCTCATGCAACCCCATACCATCAGTGATGCAGGCTTCTGAACGGAGCGTTGATAACAACTTGGGCTATCCTTGTCCTCTCTGGTCCGGATGACATGGCGTCCCAGTGTTCCATAAAGAACTTCAAATCGTGACTCATCTGACCACAGAACAGTCTTCCATTTTGCCACACTCCATTTTAAATGACCCCTGACCCAGTGCAAACGTCTGAGCTTGTGGAGCTTGCTTAGAAATGGCTTCCTCTTTGCACTGTAGAGTTTCAGCTGGCAACGGCGGAAGGCACGGTGGATTGTGTTCACTTACAATGCTTTCTGGAAGTATTCCTGAGCCCATTCTGTTATTTCCTTGACAGTGGCATTCCTGTTTGAGGTGCAGTGACGTTTAAGGGCCCAGAGATCACGAGCATCCAGTAGAGTTTTACGGCCTTGACCCTTACGCACAAAGATTGTTCCAGATTCTCTGAATCTTTTGATGATGTTATGCATGGTTGATGATGATAACTTAAAAGTCTTTGCTATTTTACGCTGGGTAACGCCATTCTGGTATTGCGGCACTGTCTTTCTGCACAACAATGGTGGAATTGGTGATCCTCTTACCATCTTGGCTTCTGAGTGACACCGACACTCTGAGAAGCTCTTTTTATACCCAATCATGTTGTCAATTGACCTAATTAGTGTTAATTGGTCTTCCAGCTGTTCGTTATATGCTCAATTTCCTTTTTCCAGCCACTTATTGCTACTTGTCCCAACTTTTTTTGGGATTGGTTGACACTGTGAAATTTTGAATCAACATATTTTTCCTTTAAAATGTTACATTTACTCAGATTAAACTTTTGATCTGTCATCGATGTTATATTACGAATAAAATATTGACATTTGCAATCTCCACATCATACCATTCAGTTTTTATTCACAATTTGTTTAGTGTCCCAACTTTTTTGGAATCCAGTTTGTATATTTTTGACGTTTTTGATGTCATTCGGACCATCCATCCATCCATCCATCCATCCATCCATCCATCATCTTCTGCATGTTCTGAAGTCGGATTGTGGGGAAGCATCTTGAGCAGGGAGGCCCAGACATATCTTTCCACAGCCACCTCTTCTAGCTCTTATGGGGGGGGTGGGTGGGTGGGGGTGGGTTGGGGGGATTCCAAGGCATTCCCAGGCCATCCGAGAGACATAGTCTGTCCAACGTGTCCTAGGTCTTCCCTGGGTCTCCTCCCAGTCAGACATGCCCGACGCACCTCAACTGGCTCATTTCGATGTGGCGGAGCAGTGGTTCTAATCCGAGTATCTCCTGGATGGCTGAATTTCTCACACTATCTCTAAAGGAGAGTCCAGCTACCTTGCGGAGGAAACTCATTTCAACCACCTGTATCCACAATCTCATTCTTTCGGTCACTACTCAGAGTTCATGACCAGAGGTGAGGGTAGGAACATACTGTAGATAGACAGGTAAACAGAAAGCTTTGCCTTACAGCTCAGCTCCCTCTTCACCACAATTGACTGGTACAGAGTCCGCAATACTGCAGACGCTGTACCAATCCATCTGTCAATCTCACTCTCCATTCTTCACTCACTCGTGAACAAAACCCCGAGATACTTGAACTCCTCCACTTGAGGCAAAACCTCACCCTCGATCCAAAGAACGAAATCCACCATTTTCCTGTTGAGGTCCATGGCCTCAGATTTGGATATACTGATTCTTATCCCAGCCACTAGGACCTTGAATGCACAATTTTGTTTCACCTCATGTAGCACATGTGATGTGAATGACAATAAAGAACCTTGAAAACAACAAAGTCTATGCTCAATAATCCAGGTATAAAATCCAACATTTTTCAGTCATGTCATCCGGACAGTTTCTTTTTTTTTTGTGCTGAAACATTTCGCCTTCGGTCCAGAAGGCTTCATCAGTCAAGGAAACACATAACAAAACTGATTCATCCCCCAACAGCTTACTCCAAAGTGGAACAAACCAGTTCTGCTTGTGATAAGATGGTCTCTTTGGTACACCCCCTCCTCCATTGCCAGCCCTCTTCCTTGTTGACAGTCTTGTCAAACTGGTTGAAAACAACAAAGTCCATGCTCAATAATCCAGGTATACAATCCAACATTTTTCACTAAGGTCATCTGGACAGTTT